TGGACATTGAGACGGGGCGGGGGCAGGGCCTGCCGCTTTGCTGATTGCCTGGACATTGAGACGGGGCGGGGTCAGGACCTGCCGCTTTGCTGATTGGCTGGACATTGAGACGGGGCGGGGTCAGGACCTGCCGCTTTGCTGATTGCCTGGACATTGAGACGGGGCGAGGTCAGGACCTGCCGCTTTGCTGATTGCCTGGACATTGAGACGGGGCGGGGTCACGACCTGCCGGTTTGCTGATTGCCTGAACATTGAGACGGGGCAGGGTCACGACCTGCCGCTTTGCTGATTGTCTGGACATTGAGACGGGGCGGGGTCAGGACCTGCCGCTTTGCTGTTTGCCTGGACATTGAGACGGGGTGGGGTCAGGACCTGCCGCTTTGCTGTTTGCCTAAGACATTGAAATGGGGTTGGAGAGGAGGTCCTCCTGACCGATCCGATCGCTTTTCTAAGTCAGTCGGTTTGGCTTGTTGACAAAGGTGTTACTCTTCTCCTTGTGAGAATAGTTCAGGCTAGTGTGTTGGTGATTGCATGGGGTTTGACTGAGAACAACTTGGGAAGTTAATGAACTAAGTAAGAATACAAGACTAATGTTTTTGCGATCAGGACAAACGAAAGATGAAATCTTTGGATAAACAAATCCTTCTTTTGAATTGGTTGAATGTGTTATTGACTTGACATACTTGTTGGCAATGCCTTGTCTTTTGCTCAATGCTCTGTTTGTCTTCTGCATTATAGGGTAGTTTGTTAGTGCTCGCCTTATGCTTGAGCGATAGGCAGGTAGATGTACACTTTTGTGTTCGCATTTGTCTTTTTCATGTATGTTTGTTTTGATAGGACTTTGGCTAGCCTTTGAATTAGTAGAAATTCTGGGAGCCTCTTTTCCTAGGGGAAATGCTGCCGAAATTTCTGCCGAATCCTCAAAGTTAGCCAAGGTTTTAAGATGTCAGCTAGGATATGGTATAGTTTAGTCTTTGAGGACAGTAAGAATTCTGGAAGTCTTCCTTTCTAAAGGAAGTGCTGCCGAAATTTCTACTTAAACCAAAGCATTAGTTTAATTTCATATGATTTTCATAGTCGCGACTTTTTCTTTTTAGATTTGATTTAGTAAATATTCTTCGAGCACACTTCCCTAAAGGAAGCGCTGTCGGAATTTTCGGGATTTTCACATCGTTACCGGATGCTACTATTAAGTAGCTTAGAGTGCAATACGGAGTTGAACTCCGTTAATTCAACAGGCGATGTCTGCCTTGATTTTGTGACGCAGGTCATTGCTACCTGTGAGTCTTCTTCGAAGTCTTGAGTTTCATCAACTTCTGCTATCGGACTGATAGGAGGTTGGTTTGCGACTCAACTCCTACCCAATGTGATACCCACGTCCAGATGTCTGTGACCCTGTTGGCGAAAGGCATTTCCGTATGAAAGAAAACCTATCCTTAAGACCTCTCTTGAATGACCATGCAAAAGCTGTGTAAATCGGGACGGGCGGATATGCCTTTGTTGAGTGGGGGTCGGAAAGGGGCGTGTGGGACATGAACCTGGGAGCAAAGGAGTTGACCACGTTTTGTGGCATCTGCGTGTGGATTTTCATTGGATTCCATGTGTGTGCAGCTATGTATGGGAGCGATGACTCGCTCCTGAATTAAGGGTGATATGGGTGAATGAATAAAGGGTGTGAGTGACAAGATTCAATTATGGTTGTGAGAATGACTCTCCCTGATTTCCTTCGAGACTCGCTCTTTTTTTTCTCTTATTTTGCTCTTGCCACGCGCATCTCGCGAGCAGACGGGAGTAGCCGAGCGCAAGGTTTAGCGCTCAACCTTAGATCGGACTGAGACTTAGCTTGGGTATGACGAATTGCTCACCAACCCGTGAGTACTCATATTTTCCTTCCGCAGGGGAAGGACGAGCGTACCCCGTCTCAAAAGGAGTCTTGCTTTTAAGATTATAAAATGGACGTTGGTCCTGAGCCTGGAATTTGAGGTCCTTGTCCAGGACGTCCCAAACTTCGATCCAGCACAAAAAGGTTTTCCCTTTGAGGCGGACTTGCGCCCCTTGCTTATCGATACCCACTGCCTAAAAAAAAACAGGGGTGCCGCAAGGGCCGAACGACTTATCCTTCAGCCGTGCAATATCGTGAAGGAGAAACCCTTCACGATATTTCGCTTTCGACACTTGAATGTCGTACGCAACCTCGAACCCATGGGAGGTTGCACGGATGTGAGTAACGCATGAAGCGTCGCCATGATAGCAGATTAAGTGAGAACACATGACTGAACGTTATGGTTCTCATGGCAGTGGCATTCTTTTTATATAACTCTGCGCAGACCTCGCTCAGACACATTGGCAGTTCTGAGTTATGGGTCAGGACGTATGAAAAAGGGACTAGGCTAATTTGCTTGTATGAGTTACTTTGTTTTATCGTGTATCGCGTGGTTGAGCTAGGATGTCCTAGTCGACCGACGCTGAATCGCACGTGGGAGATCAGCGCCCCAGCGTGACGGTTCGCGTACGGGTTCGAGCTAGGCGTGGACCGCGCGTACCCCCTATGCTACAACATACGAGAAACGCCCTCGGCTGGGCCACCTCCATAATTGCAAGTAAAAACTTTCGCGTGTGGTTCAGTAGCTCGGCAGGGATACGTCCACCCAAGGGATGGTGACAGCTCCTACGGGTGGAGGTAAGTTGTACCTCGCGAGACCCTATCCTGTCGTAGGGACTCGATGGAGGTATAGCTGGCACACTCGGCCAGAGCGGCTCCGCCGCTTCCCTTTTCGTTAATCGACTTGCAAATTTCTGCCAATCCTGCGTGACGCGGCCGGGAAGGTTCCCCCAGCGGGGACCGTGCGCACGATAGGTGGCGCCGTTGCCGAGGAATCTCAGCTGCCTACCGAGGTCCATAGTGAACGGACTTGGGTTTAGTGCAGAACGATGATCCATGCAAAACGACACTTTTGTGATTAGAGATTGATATAGTGTGTTTTTGACTTTTGATATTGCCGTCGCGACTTAAGGGAATGTCCCTAAGAATCTTTTCAGGCCCAAAGAGGGGCCTCGCTGTCATGGTCAGAAACGCTGAGTATTAAAACTTGGCATGGAGTGGACGAATTCGTAGTATGATTGTATGAAGGTGTGAATGCTTGTGTATGAGTGTCGAACGTTTCAATTTAGTAGTAGGACACAACCTCTTAAGGTTGAGGTTGGACTAGCTATAAGGGTTTGTTAAAGTAATTAGGTTGACCATGTATAAGTGTTGCATATTGACAGGGAACTGATTGTCGAAGAACGAGATGGCGGGCGATGAACTCGATCAAGCCGATGGCGCGGGCCAACGGTCGGTTACGTTGGGTCAACTGGTTGCTTTACTGGATGGGCGCGCGGTGACGAGATCCAACATCCCGAAGGTTCGGATCTTCCACTTCAAAGGAGATAAGGTGTCAGAGTGGCTTGAGTTGCTCGAGCAAATTACTGACGAGATGACGGAAGAAGAAAAATTTCGTCAAATCTCTAAGTACGTCTGGTGGGAGATGCGGCCGGAAGTTATACGGGTAGCAACTGAGGCCGCACGAAGTTGGGGGAACTTTAAGGCCGAAATGCAGAGGCGGTATCAGTTGGGAGATGGCCTCCTTACGACGGAGGACTTGGAAAGGCTAGAGAGGTCTGATTTCACGATGGTAGGTGCCTTCGCAACGACATTCGAGAAGATGGCGAGGAAGGTTCCAGGGTTGGCCGAGGAGTCCCAATGTGCCATCTTCCTAAGCAACTTCACGGAATGCGAGAGTGTTTCCCTGACCAGAAGAGGGGCCATAGGGAGGAAGTTGACTTGGGAGACAGTGAAGCAAAGCTTGGAAGATGGGGAGTTGGACCAGGTATACAAGTTTCAGATGAAACAACAACGGCAGAAGCGAAAGGCCCGACTTGTCACTGAAGGAGCAAGTATCAACCTTCAACAGCTTATTTCGGATGGAATATCCAAGTATCAAGCCGACCAACAGAAAGCGGTTGGGAATCGGGTTTTGACAGTAACTCAGCCTCAGGCAAAAGCTACGAAGAAGGTAGTTGAGCAGGTGGAAGACGATGATGACGATGAAGAGGAAGAACCGGTAAAGCTGGCGAAAAGTCAGAGGAAGGCGCGGAACCAGGCCGCAGGTGGCCAAGGTTCCGGGAATAATGTAGGAGTACAGGCCGCTGCGCCGGCTCAAGTAAACGCGAATCAGGCGTGGACCACGCGTACCCCCTATGCTACAGCATATGAGAAACGCCCTCGGCTGGGCCACCTCCACGATTGAAAGTAAAAGCTTTCGCGTGTGGTTCAGTAGCTCGGTGGGGATACGCCCACCCAAGGGATGGTGACAGCTCCTACGGGTGGAGGTAAGTTGTACCTCGTGAGACCCTGTCCTGTCGTAGGGACTCGATGGAGGTACAGGTGGCACACTCGGCCGGGGCGGCTCCGCCGCTTCCCTTTTCGTGAAGTGACTTGCAAATTTCTGCCAATCCTGCGTGACGCGGCCGGGAAGGTTCCCCCAGCGGGGACCGTGCGCACGACAGCGCTTGGACCGGCTTGATTCTGTCCCCCTTGGTTCATCTATGTCGGCTTCAGTGCTTCATCAATGATGGACTTTAGCGCGTTCGGAGTTAGCTCAGGCTTCTTTGCGGTGTCTTCCTTGTTCGGAGGAGCTGGTTGCTTTTCACTTGGTTTTCGTGTGAGTTGCTCCAGTGTCTTGAGAACTTTGTCAATCTCCCGACGGAGCTTAAAGATTTTTTTCTTTAGATCCGCCGTAAACCACGCTCGATTTCCCGGTGGGGGGAAATCATTCCGTCTTTGCTCCCACAATGGTCTCGAGAACCACCTTGGAGATTATGACTCCGCCCTTCTTCTCCGTGACAATGGTGATCTTGACTTATGTCTTCTATCTCTCGGAGTTTTCGATCTTCCCCTTCTTGAGCGCTTCCTCCCTTGAGATCCGGAAGATGATGATGAGTGTTTGCGCTGCCTCCTGTCCGACGATGATCGCGAACACGACATCTTCCTTTAAGCTTGGGAACGTCAGGTAGGTAGTCTTCGTACTTGAAATCGATAAAAAACCCCACAACGTCGTTGATCGTCTTCAGTACACACCAGATAAGTAAAATAGAATCTTCAAAAATCGCTGAGTAATCCACGCTATAGTAATCTCCAACAAATCGACACTATGATATCATGAAAGAAAAGGGTTACGAATGATGAGAGAGAGATAAAGACAGTGAATGTAAAATGGAAGAGTGACAGGTCTATACAGTGTCAATCATCGCGGGTACCGCCCGCAAGTTCTAAGCACCGTGCATAAACACATGCAAATGTAGACAGAACGTTCGGTTTTACTTTCACAGCATACACATGCAAATGTAGACAGAACATGCGAGGTTTTACTTTCACAGCATACACGTAATGTCCATGGCATGCGACACCAGTCACGGTTACCCTTCTACCTCACTGCTCAAGTAATCATTTCAGCCACTATCCTCAGTATTTATACCCTTCGTTCTAAGTCCTTCTCCGCCACTTTTCCTATCCTTGCAGTGTACTCATCATCTATCCTCGGGATCTCCCGCAGTCGCTCTCTGTGTTGTCCTTGTCGTCGTCGATTTCCAACATTCCTTCAATTTGGAGCTACTTTCATCATATCTAATGATTTTGTGCGTGCTACTCACGTACTCTCCTCTCTGTCGGAGTTTCGTCTTACTGTGGTACTTGCCTATAACTTCGCTGTTTTTTTATACTTACTCGAATCTGGCCTTGTTTGTTGTTCTGTTCTTATTTAATTTCATGGCCGTGGATTTTCCTTAATTTCCAGGTGAGTACTTTTTCTTTATTGGTTCGTTTCCACTGCTTTAGGTCTTTCATCTTCTATCTGTTTCGTATGTTTGGAAATGTGAGCGACACTGTTACGTCATTATATCTGCAGAAATTCCGTGATATTCCGGAGTACTTAGTCGTGTATGTTTCTTTTTCGTCCTTGAAAATTTATTTTCATTCCGTGCAAAATTATATTTTTGATTTTTTATTTTTGATTTTTCGATTTTTGATTTTAGCTTTATATTCCGAGTCGTGTGAAATTCTTGACGTATTTTATTCCGACTTTCAGTTTTATATCCGTCGATTTGGTGCTTCTTGCTTTTCCAGGTACTCCTGGAATTTATTTCGGATATCCGTCCCTGCAGTTTCAGATGAACGCAATTATCGCGGCGCGGGTTATCCTCCATGGGTAATCCATGAGTCGGAGTTCCCGTCCGAACAGGTCAATAACAGGCGGTAGATCCGCCATCTCGTATGTGTTAGCTACCATTCGATGAAAAGTTTCGATAATCAACAAGGTCTTGGTTCTCTCAGAACCCGCACTTCTGAAGTGACGCAACGTCCTGAGATAAAGAGAGAAAGGGAGAGAGAGAGAGAGAGAGAGAGAGAGAGAGAGAGAGAGAGAGAGAGAGAGAGAGAGAGAGAGAGAGAGAGAAA